CTGCAAGTTGCAGGAGTGTCATCTTTATGGATTAAAAGGGGCAAACCAAAGAATAATTAAAGAAATAGAAACATTAAGAGTATGTTTTAGATGAAATAACTGTATCCACCACCTCTGCGTTTTCTTTAGTCAAATCAGTCAGACATAACTCAAAGTTATTAAACAAACATCAAGTCAAACAAAGTCAGTGATTCAGCAGGTAAGAGTATATAAAGCAGCATAAGGTGGTCCCATGCTTAAAACCATGCCGTGTGATATTATACCAGCAAAGGCAACAGGAAAAACAAGCATAATGAACCTGCTGTTCAGACAATAGATTCAGTGAATGGAGGAGCTACAGTTTATTGCACTCATTGACTACACAACTAGATCCAAAAGCAATCATGTGCTAGAAGGGGAGATGACAATGCTGGTCACAATGTCAGAGCCAAAGCCATGTCAAAGAGGCAGAAAACTAGAAAAACAGGTACAATCAGTCTACCAAGACACAGGCCGCCTGCTTCTAATGTTCATGTGTCAGAGCTAGAAGAAGCAAGAGCACAGACAACAATGTAGCACTGCTGACAGCCTCTACAGGCAGGATAAAAGGACGCCAAGATTTAAAGTCTATACTAATGGTTGCCTTAAACACTAACCGCTCATGCCCAGCAAGAATGCCAAAGTCATGAAGACACAAAGGAGTGAGTGAATGAGCACTGAAGACTAGCCAGTTATAGCTATGTGTATAGCAGCAGTGCAACAGGGAGAAGTAGAGAAAGTATACAAGAAAGTGAAACTGACGTGATCAGCAGAGATGCTGATGCTGTGTGTGGCAGTGTGTTTGTATTCAGTTCAGCCTCGTTTTGACCTTTGAGCTCAGCAGAAGCTTGGAAGTCCTGGTGTAATGGCCCTGGCAGTATATGGTCATAAATCCTATATATATGAATTATGACCACTAAATCCATATGTCTGGACTGTAGTTTGCATGGGTGTTCTGTCCTTTTTCTGATTGAGTGGGCTGTTTGGGGTTGACTTGGACATGGCATCTGCTGATTGGCCCCCACTGCCAACTTAGCCACCTCAGAAACTGCAGCAGTCATCACTCTGGCAGCATCAAGCAGCAGCAGGCCCGTCTTCCACCGCCAAATTCATAGTGTTTTCTTGTGCGTGTATTCTGACACACATTTATATATAGATTTGGAAAATAGCTCTGCTTATTGTTCAGGTAGCACTTTTTTGGGATAGATTTTTTGTTCTTTTTTTTTAACTTGGTTCACCCTGGGGGTTTTGGTTCAGTTTTGGTACGTTCACAGTAGCAATAAACTGCACCTTTATCTGTGAATTGGCTACTAGGTGTGTGGCTTTGGGAACCAGGGCGGGGAAACACTTTTTTTAAATGGGATCCATGACACTGGTTTCACTGATTTCATCTGCGGCGAGAACACAAAACCTCAATAGCCTAAAGGTACTGTCTTAATCTACCAGTTAAGGCCACCAGCAAAAAGCTTAACTAGAGAAAAATCTGTGGTTATAGTCTCTACTATCACCTGCTAAACTATTTATTTTGAAGATTGGCCTGTTGTGTCGTCTCTAGTTTAGTTGTTGTCACTTTCATCTTCACCAAAGCAGGTGAAATGAATTCACAACTTACTTGGAGAGACTGATACCCTTGATGTGACTTTGTGTTGCACTGTGATACACATACTGATGATAAGTGTATAAACAGTACTTTGTTTTAAATCATCATTTAAAAACTGCGTTTTATATCTATTCGAGTTATCTGTGTCAAATATTAAAATTGTGTTGATTATCCGAGACACTTAAGTGTGAAAATATATTTAAAAGAATTTAAAAAGACATTACAAAGGAAGCACATAATGATTCCCAGCATTGTATACGGCCTGTTTATCGCAACTAATGATAAATGAAGTGTCAGCTTTCTGTGCAGCAATTTCAGTGGTTTCAAACAGGAAACACGTGAGAGATCAGGGTACAGCTGCAGTTACTGTGTGTTTTCTGATTTACAATGATACCATTAAACCATGAAGACATATTGACTGAAGTAGCGTTTCGTGCTGACAGCAAACTGCAGAGGGATACATCGAATAGAGGTGAGTCCAGCTAGTTTCTCAGACTCACATTTTTTTGTACTTCTGCTGATTTAAAAAAAAACTGAAAATGATTACCTTTAACATGTGGAGCAAAAACAGTCAATGATCAGCATTTTGTTTGTCTTTATGGAAGTCAATGCACGTACACAGGAAACTCACAAATTAGTCGTGTGCATTGTAACTGATACCACATAATGTGACTCAGCAATTAAATAACTTATTCAGAGCATGGGTGAAAACACAACTCTGCAAGGAGATGAGATGTAGAAATTCAGGTCAAAGTTCAAGTAGTAAGTCAGCGAATTCATGAGAAATAAGGGTTAAAGATGAGATTGTTTCAATGTTAAATAGAGTAAAGAAGGATGCCATGCAGTAATTAACACTGTCATCTCACTGCAAGATGGTCCTGGGCTTGAATCAAACCTGGGGCCTTTTTTTGTCCAGTTTCCTGGTGTTTGTTCTCTCTGGTTACTCTGGCTTCCTACCACAGTCTAAAGACTGAGGTTAGATTAACCACTGATTCTACATTGACCGTGAGAGTAGAGAGAGTTTACCACCTTGGCCTTCCTTGTTGTAGTAGACCTCAGTCTCTATCGATCTTGTGCTTAAGGCTCATTCCTGAGCTGGCACGTGCTTTCTTTCAGTCCAGCTTTCTCGAGCCATTAGTAAGATTTCTCAGTGTGAGTCCTGTCTTTTGTCTGCTGGCAGTACATGCCATGCAAAGGCCTGTCTTTCCATGACGATTTTTCTTCTTGCTCTTCTTCTTTCTTGAGTTTCTGCTGCCTGAGACATTCACTAGGCACATGGTCAGTAGTGGCCATCTTCCTAATATACCACGCATCTGTTGTTTCATCCAATTTTAGTCATATATATAGCAACAAATTTACAAAAACAGTTTCCTTAGCTTTGTATCTTCAGGTACAATTATACAGAAAAACCACCAATAATCGTGTGCCCCCTTTGAGTGAGCACTTTGGCGACAGTTGGAAGGAAAAACTCCCTTTTGACAGGACTTCCTTTTAACTCAGCAGAACCAGGCTGTATGATTCAGTAGCTTTTAGAATCACTTTTAGCAGTAATGTGAAGTAATGGTTTTCTGCATGACTTTGTCAGACTCTCACATCGTTGTGGAGCACTATTAGCCTTCTTCACATGCTTCATTGAGGTTTGCCATCTCTCAATCATTCTGTTGTTGATTTGCTGCTGTGCTTGGGATCTTTGTCCTATTGACGGTCCCACATTTGACTCCACTGTATAATACTTTGGTATGCAGAGGAGTTTATGGTCGACTCTGTGACTTTAAGGTGCCCAGGTCCCGTGGCTATAAATCAAACCCTAATCATCACCCCTCCACCACTGTTCTAATAGTTAATGATACCTTTCGCTGAAATGCTGGGAATGCCAAACATGGTGCTGTACATTATGGCCAAATATCTGCACTTCTGGCTGCTCTGCACAGAAGTCTTGTGGTTTGTTTAGAAGTAACTTTCCATGTTGCCATATTCTTTGTGAGGAGAAGAGGCTTTCTCCTGGCAGCACTTTCAAACAAACCATAGTTGTTCAGTCTTCTTTAGATTGTTTGTCACAAACTTTAACATTTATCATGTTCACAGTGGCCTGTGGAGTCTGAGATATATCTCTTGGGAGTGGCCTGTGGAGTCTGAGATATATCTCTTGGGATTATTTCATAGTTTTTCTGAACATTGCACCATCTGACCTTAGGGTGAACTTACTTAGTTTGACCATCATCACAAAAGTTCCATCGCTTTTATAGCGATGGTCAAACTTGCTGATCAAACCTACTCATGTACCTTGATAAGCACTGCCTAATTGCTGCATACCAACTGATTTCCAGTGAAATCATTGAGGGTGTACTTTTTTCCCTCACAAATGCGTCTGGTAAAATCTGTATTTCACATGACAGTGTTTCCACTTTTTACGCACAGGATTGTTACACCTAATAAAAAAATTATTAAGGAGAGAGTTGACTCAGCTTGAGTGATGTATATTTCTTTTCATCACCAGTAATTTCTGTACTTCCATTTAAAGGTCTCAATTTTGCTTTCAAGTTTGTAAGACTGTGGAATTGAAAGAAAATTCCACATTTGGAGAAGCCTGAAAAGCTGTTTTTGTGAAATAAATTGAATTTACTCTCAGTAACCTCCACCAGAAAAGGACATATGCAAAAACATGTTTCATAAAGAAATATGTGGTAGATCTCATCGCAATATTTAAAATTGGTTTCACTTTGAGTTACCACATCAAACGAAGACACCATGAAGATAATTTCAAAGATTTAAATAGCAATTATACATAATTTGTTGCAAAATGATGTATATGTGAGGTGGATTTTTGTTTCAGCTCCAGAAACATCACTGACCAAAATACCATGACTTCACCTTCCAATGAGACCTGTGAGGTTAAGGATATTTCAGCCAAACCTTTCTTTATACTGGTCCACAGTTTGGTCTTTCTGGTAAGTTTCAAATCATCAAATTGTGCTCTGTCAGAAATTGGTTTGAGGTTCCCAGTGCATGTACCAAAGTCCTGTCCTCTCCATCCTTTCTGTGTTTCTTTAGGTAGGTTTACCTCTCAATGGCTTCATCATTAAGTTCTACTGTTGTCGAGGTCGAAAGCAGGCGTCCAGCAGCTTGAAAGTCTTCCTGAAGAACCTGACAGCTGCTGACTTCCTATTCTGCCTCTGTCTGCCACTCCGCATCACTTACTATGCCAGAAGCTCTGGAATAATCCCGAGTCTCTACTGCAGCTTTGGAGCTTCGGCCTTTTTCCTCAACATGTATGCCAGCATCATATTTATGGGGTACATCGCTGCCAACAGGTAAAAAAAAACGTTACTATGCTGCCCTCACGACACGTGACCATGTGAAGCTAGACAGCTAGCAAACAAAATAGACGAGATCTTCCACACAAGGCTTGCTTTTCTTGCTTTTAATGAAGATCCTTTAAAGCCTTATCCTCTCTCAAGGCTTCTCCTTGCTATTTCTTATTTGTAACTGAAACATACAGAAGTGAAAATAAATTGCTAGCTAATACACATCTTAATGACAAACTTAAAGATTAGCCCAGCTTAATACGTGCTTTACATTAGCATCACAGTTCACTCCAGGTAAACACATATAAAAGTAAGTTGTTTCTGAACACATTAATACTCACAAAGACGAACGTTTCCCAAGGTACAAGCGTGTAGGGCACTCTTAGCGTGTACATGAACTTATTCACTGTTTTAATACTGCCGAAACACATTTCACAGCATTAACGGAGAAAATACGTCAATGATGGAATGATCTGAATGATCAGAGCGCTTGTGATAACGATGTCTCACTCTGAGCAAATTTCGAACCCATACATTTTAACTTTTTTTAGCATAAATTACTTATAATATTTCTTAACTTTGAACTTATTTATCACTTTGCTTATGTAACTTAATCAGACTATGCACTAACTACTCACTTTTGACCAAAAGCCATAACATTTACAGTGTTGTTAAGTACAACACTGGGTGTTACATCAGTAAATCCTGCACTCCTAATTAAAGCATGAATGCATTAATGATAAAACTTAATGATTTTAGCAGTACTGTGGCTGATTAGTGGATTTGTCTACTGCCTGCTTTTGCTTCTCTCTTCAGGTATCTGAAGATCGTCCATCCTTCAGGAACTCGTGTCCTGCAGACAGTACGAGCTGCCCACATCATCTCTGCGGTCACCTGGGTTTTTCTTCTGGCTACAGCAATTTCTTACAGCAATCTGTATTTGATGACTCAGGAATCTCTGACCTCTAACTCCAGCCGCTGTGATCCCCTCTTTAGTGAATCAGTCAAGTTGTTCTTTACAATCATCCAGGTTCTGTCTGCCATCATCTTCCTCTTAGTCTTCATATCCATGGTCTTCTTCTACTACAGCACCTCCCGCAGGGTGTTGCAGGCACAGCAGAGGCAGCTGGCCTCCTCTGAGAAGCTCTTGAAGTCTCGTAGAAACATGTTGCTGCTTGTCAGCATCTTCTGTGTTTGCTTTGTCCCCTATCACCTGGTTCGACTTCCCTTTACTTTTCTGTCAGGAAACTGCACAGTAGGTCCAGTGTTGCACTACCTGAAGGAGGTGGCCACCATGGTCTCAGTTTTCAACATCTGCCTGGACCCTGTTGTTTACTTTTACCTCTGTAAGGCTTTTCGGGCCAAGGTGAGAAAGTTGTCCAGGAGAGCCAACATTCAACAAGCAAGTGAGGAGAGTGAGAACAGCAAGGAGCAGTTTGGCATCGTTACATCAACAGCAACGTCTCAAACCAATGAACTGTAAGGAAAACTTCCATATTTTATGTACAGCCTTGTTTTGTGTGTGTGTGTGTGTTTTTTCTCTTTTTTTGTCACGTGAGTTTCTGTGAAATATAGTTTCTGCTAAGCTTATTTAAATGTATCAAGAAGAACTTTTTTCCTTTCTGCAATATTTTTTTATTATTTTATTCATAACAAAAATTAAAGCATAGATAATTGGTGTTGCTTAAAAAAAAAACTCAGATTTTTTCTACTTGGTTGTTTTCCAGAAATGTCTCGTTTCATTTTGATGTTTAATGTAGGAAATACACTGAATGAAGCGACAATGTTTTGAGGTTGGCATGTGCACATCATCATGATTTATATGTGTGTGCACATTCAGTCACATCATGATTCAAATATACTTGATTATAAATAGCATTGTTGTACTGACTTCTTTTTTCACTCATGAATCAGTTGTTCCACATCGTTTTAGTCAAAAGGACCTATGTGCATCTATAGGGTCATGTAGCTCTAATTCATAACAGAAGTTATCTCAAGGCATTTTAACTAGTAATGCTTTGGATTTGGCAATCGCACAGTCTAAGAAGGCTAACCTGCCAGTTTTCATATCCTCCCTGGTGAATTTGATGTATTGGTCCACTGAGTTAATGTGATCCGTGAAATGTAGGACGTCCTGAGATTTGATTTTCACCCAGGTGTCATCCACACATCTGAACCAATGGCTTTGTGGTGTTCCAGGGTAGAATAGCAAAGCCCTCTTTTCCACTTATTCAATCAATCAATCAATTAATCAAGGCTTTATTTGCCACGTGCAGGTTGCCCTGCAGTGAAATAGGACCCCCTCCCTGACCTTACACACACAACACAGACATCACATGGGGATACAGGTCGGAGATCGGTAGCGTTAAAGAAAAAAAAAACACTGAAATATACACTACAATGGGAAAGTACAAGAGGAAAAAAAGAGACCTCTACTCATGCTGGGCT